CTTGCAGCTTTTTCCGCTGTCGTTGACAGGTCTTCCACGTATATCTGCTTATCGGCTCTAATGCTCCTCTTCACTTGGTTGTTTGCTTCTCAGTATGCAGTTTGTGCCTTGACTTTCTCCGCTCGTGTTTAGTAGTAATTAGATGTTATTTTCTCGTTCTTCCTTCCTTGACTTTTACCCAGGGTTTCGATAGAGATCCATTCTTTATGATGATGCTTCTTGCGGCCCAGAACCTCCTAACACGTTGAAGTTTGTGCTATGACTTGTGGCCAGTTGATGTATCACGTGCTCGGTTCGCCAATCAGAACATGACTTATACAATCTACAAACTGTGCCACAACAATGACATATTGACCGGTATGAGCAACCTAGCGTCCTTATTGGTCCTTTTTCTTCCTAGCTATGCCTTTTGTGTCCAGAGCACCAATATCACCTCCCACTATATGAATCATTTATTTCAGACATACTTGGTTTATATACAAGCAAACCAGACCACATCATACCATAGAATAAAAATAAAAATTATACAGGATCAAGCCAAAATGTGGCAGTGATTGTGAGTGACTGTTACTAATCAATAGAGAATATCTTAAGAATAGTAAATCGTGTGATCATAGTCGATAAGTCAAATAAAAGCCTATAATAAAAGGAATATGGATGTATACAATTTAGTCACTGAACAGTTGAACAATAAGAATATATGTATAATAAGAGTTCATAAACAATTCCTGATGGTTACCATTCATTTATTCTTCATCCGGATATAACAGTTAGTACTTCTTTGATCCTGTAGTTCTCCATAGTAGTTTTCTCCTCGCTGAGTAAATTTTGTCAGGTTTGGAACCTATTGTTGAGAACTATTTTGAGTCCGTTGAGTTTGTCAGTATCTTGAAGAAAGGCTGTATTGAACCTTTAGTAATGCCGTTTCCCCAGTTGTCCACTGGTTCTTTAGCTTCGGTTCCATATTGACAACCACCAACTAGTGGTGATCTGAAGCACTGCCGGCTCATTTCATGGTTCTTACATCTTCCGTCGATTGACCGTATGAATGTTTTCTGATTTAATTTGACCGATCTGATTCTGTGTAGTGTGATCCGGTGAGACCCATCTAGCTTTGTGAATGCGTTTATGTGGGAATATAGTGCTGCCCACAAATTATTTATTGCACATAAATTCGAAAATCTATTGCCGTTCTCGTTCCTTTCTCCCAGTCAGTCCACATCGTCCCATGACATCTTCATACCTGGTGTTATCTATTCGGACATCAGAGTTTAGGATTACCATAAGAATCTTTAGGTTCTCCTCGGGACATTTCGCTATGATCTATTGTATTCTGTCGTTAAACTGATTTTCATCGTCTTCATTACCAGAATTATGGGTTCATAGTACTGATTAACATTCATTATAATTCCCACCTTTATCTTGAATGATGTTTTAATGATTTTAAATTCATGAGATTTCCATCCTATAAGTGCTGTAAGTGCTTGTTTGGACAGTATCAGAGTAACTCCTAGAGTGTGTGGAGCATATCTCCCGTACCTAAACTTTGCTGTTCAGCTCGAGTCCAATGGGTTTCGCTGATTCCGAAAACCGCCAAATTATATCTTCTAGTTTCTGTTGCTATTCAACCGGTCTTCTCGCTCCCTCACATTGTTCAGACGTTCCATGTACCCATAAAAATTGTTGCTCTGGATGTTATAAGAAGCATCGGCTTCGTGACTTTCGAAGAATGTGAGCTTTCATCAAGATGTGTCATAATTCCTCCTTGAACTCCGACGGCAGATTTTAAATGATTTAGTTTGTTTAATCTGGCAGGCCTTTTTTAGCAATACTTTTTCTACGGGATAGGGTTGCCGATCCCACGCACTACCATCCTCCCTTACTAGGGCTTGAGACCGGCAGTAGCCCTAGAAGAGATAAACTAAACACTTTAAGTATGTATCCACGATCATAAACAACTTATGATTTTACAGCCAAAACTATTTCCTTGGTCTTTTATCAGGTCATATCTTTGTCAAACTGGAACCAGTGTTTATAAATGTCTATTAGCTCACCTTTTGAATTCATTATTCTGTTTACATGAAATATCTCTAATGATTTTTTGCAAATAATACTCAAGTGCATCACATTAGATAATGAAATTTTATTTATCTAATCGAACTATTATTATAATCATGATTAGTAAAGAAAACGTTGTATACATGATTGAGTTCATTAAGAATATAGATTTCCTATTCTTAAAATCTGAAGAATTTTCAAATGAAACATAATCTATTCTCTCTAGACAATTTATATTTTTCTGGTAAGCGTTTTTTTAGCGAGTTAGTTTTCTACGGGATGGGGACGCTAACCCCATGCCCAACCCTCCTCCTTTACCCGGGATTGGGACCGGCAGTAACTCTAGAAGAGCTACAGGCGGAGTTTAGACAATTTATAACCAACATTTATTTCTCTTTTCTTTTTGATTATAAATGTATCATTATAAACATAATTTATAAATAAACAAAAGCAATGAGATCTCATCTTATTAAATCGATTGAGCAAAGAATGAATTTCTTAGTTTAATCTTTCTATATAATAAAGTTTGTTTTTTCTCCTCAAATGACCTTACATTGAACTCTAGTTTGTCAACTACACTATCTACATAGAACTTTGTTGTTTAAAAGAAAGATTTGATTGTAAGTAAATAACGATTGGAATAATCATGTTTGTCAATATCGATAAAAAGAGGACAAGTCCATTGAAAAAGGTGAATTTTTGAAATGTAGGCAAAATTGTTATAATTTCTTAGTTTAAACGTGACTAAAAGAACTGATTAACTATAGTAAAATAAAAGTTAAAATCAATATTACACGGAAGATACTTTACAACTTATCTGTAATCCTTAGAGTCATTATATATTTTAAAGGAAACTATAAAAAGTTACACAGAGAAGGATTTTTTTTAAAACTAAACGCAGTTTCATCATGTCTTTTTTTCATTTTTCTAATCGAATCTTCAAAAAAATACTGATTTTTAATGATCTTAGATTTTAAGTTTTTCTAGAGGCTGAGTTGAAAAAAAACACAGCGAATGCACGAATGAACAGACCTCAGATAGGAAATTTATACGAAGCGTCAACAGATATGGTGTTTTTTTATTTGTATCTTCTCATTGTTACTTAGGATTGCAAATTGATCAGCCACTTGATGGTATATGTGCATATTGTGCGGATTGCCTCAATAAAGTCACAAGCTTTTTAAGCAAAGATGGATAGAGGATAACAGTGGAATTCAGGACACGCGTTTCATTCTATTTGGGACTAGTCAACTGGATGTACCTGCATCCCAGATTTGATGTTCACTCCATTATTCGAATCCAGTATCGTTCACTTCAAACGCCATCGCATTATCCACTTATCTACTGAGTCCTGATAGCCACGTGCTTGTGAAATGGTGTGAAGTTTAAATTCACTTGGTGTTATTTTACTTGTTTCTTCCCATTGTTATTTAGGACTCAGTAGCTAAGTGGATAACGCGATGGCGTTTGAAGTGAACGGTACTGGATTCGAATAATGGAGTGAAAATCAACTCCGGAATTCAGGTACTTTCGGCTGACGAGTTCCATGTAGAACGAAACGCGCGTCCTGGATTCCACTGCCGGCCATTATCCATCTTTTCCAACAGATACGGTTTTGTCAAACATTACCTAAATTTAATCTAAGAAATGATTAAAGAATTCAGTTGCACTTAATAAATAAATTTAAAAGTATACAAAATAATAGACTGAAATTAGAAATTACATTATTTATTCATAGAATCTGATTACGGCTTTGATCGAAGCACTAATATGATTTCTTAACATACTTGTTTCCTTGAATATATAATTTGTTATTTCATTCAAGCATAATTAAATATTGTGTGATTTTACCGAGATTTAAAATGGATAACTTAGTTTGCAATGTCTCTTTATTTATACATCTTAAACTAAACTTAATACATAAGGTTCAGTTATTAACTTTGAACATAGAACAAAACTTTTTAATATTTAGTAAGAGCACGGTAAGACAATGACAAGTGATAGTAATAAGCATACCAGAAGTAAACAACCAAACAATAATCTCAAATGTTTCATGATGACAAAATAAATATGCCAAGAATAAGACTCATTATTCTTGGACCATTAGTTAGCAGGTGTATTTCAGTTCATGTTTACATCATAAAATACTGGAGGTTGGTAAATGATTTTGCAAAGCAATTTTGTAATTCGTTTTGTATTGTTTGTTTGTATCTTTCTATTGATGTTTAGGACTGCAGTTGATCGAGTCCTAGAGTGAAAATTAACTCTGAGATGCATGTATATCCAACTGACGAGTCTCAAATAGGACGAAAAGAGCGTCCTAGACTCCACTGCTAGCCACCATCTATCTTTCCTTATAAAATTTTGTGATCATATTATATATTATAATGACTAAAATTAGGGAATAATGAGTATATGTAATCAATCCATACATTTTTATGATTAATAGTCATATGAAACATAATTACTGGTATTTTTTTTCAAATTTCACAAAGTAGAAATGCATGAAATCCAGTATAACCTTGCACGTCAGCTACGTAGTAATCAATAGTTAAAAATATAACTCAACCCCACATAAAATCAGGTTATTTAACTGTAACAATAATTGTAAAACTTTATTCCCCCACTAAATATGAATGAATAAACTTGTTATAAATCCAAGTACCCTTAATAATTTTTTTCGCCCCTCCTTGTTTTGTATCACTCTTGATTGATTTCCGTTTTAACTCTCATTGATTTATTAATGATAGTTGTGTCTGATTAAAAGAAGCTAATTACACAATAAATGGAGTAACACGCTAAAGTTTTAACAGTTAATCGCACTTTAAATATAGTTTTCTTAGTACTGTTACTATGTAAAATATTCTAATTTGATGTTTGTCGTTGAAAATTTATGAATTTAATATTATAACAGTTTTTCTATGCATTAAAATAATTTATAGGTGCTTCACACAGCCCACAATATGACATTTTTCATGCTGGTGGCTATGCATCACCCGCTGTTGATGCATTATGCACTACAAGTGATGTATCCAAATTGGAAAGTGAATTTCGTAATCAAGCAGGTGAGAATATATTAACTGTTATACGTACAAGAGGAATTGATTCTATGGCTCCACCTGAACAAAGGTATGAGATCCCAATTATTTGGTCTTTTTAGCTTTTAAAAATAAAAAAATTCATTATTGTTGTGAATTTTTAATGATCCTGGATTTTTAAGGAAAACGAAACCATCTTCAATGTACATGAAGAAGATTTAAATGATACTACTTTTTTACATAAACTAATTCAGACTGAGTATTTCATTTTTAATTTGACCTTTGATTGTTGATCATTTCAGCATAAGATATTTAGGTGTTCCAACTGTGATATTTTAGTAAGCTTTTTAGCACATAATTTCCAAAAGTTAAATGGGTATAGTGTTATCGAAATGGGGCAGTAACTGAAATCTTAATATACTTCCCCACATCATTCACTTCTTGTGAAAATGGAAGAAGGTGATGCGCTAAAGGATACTTAGTTGTTGTGATATGCAGTTTCTAAGTACACTTTCTTTCAGACCTTAAATTTATGAATTTTAAAACAAAACAATAAAATTTATTACATTTTAATTAAAACATGGGAGTTTAATCCACATGAAATTCTGTAATCTTTAGAGCAAAATGAATTAATTTCATTAAGTTTTCAATGTAACTAATAGGCCAATTAACCTGCCGTTATAATTTACTAATTCTTGTGTTTCAGAAAGCATTTAATCAAGATTTGTTTTCTGAAATTCATTGTCACAGGATATCTACAATAATGAGGCTTCTTTGTCCTCCGAAGTAGTAAATGTTTGTCATCTCACTAAATGACAAGTATGCAATGAATAATTTCATGAAGCCAATTATCAGAGTATATATATCGTTAAATTTGTAGTTGAATGAAAGTGTGACGAGGGGTACTGAAAATACATATGAACCATCACTTTGATGTTTTGCGAATTAAGCAACAATAGCTAACAGGTAGTCAGATTTCAGTCTTGTTTTATTCACTGAATGAAGGCTAGTCAGTCTTTTAAATACGACAAAAGTTTACTATTTTAAATTTTTTATCATCGTGTACAACAATAACAGATAAATTGAACAGATTAATTACCCAACAGTCGACTCCAGATATTATCTGATTCTTAGGCAAATAAAAGTTTCCGTTTTGCTTATACAACGAAGATAAAACGCTCAATGTACGAGTAGGATTAAAACGTGGTTACAAGTTAGGTTTTGTAGTTTAGTCAGTGTTGCTCAGTCCAGTCTTGTTATGAGTATTAGGAATTATAGGAAACAATTTGTCTGATTATGAATACATTCTTTGTCTTTCCACCTAGAAGCTGCTTTTTCGGTTAGTTTATTCGTTAGTCAGTAAATGTTACCGTAACTTATTACCTAACTTTGTTTATATAATGAGAAAACACTTAACTATTTCAAATAATCTATCAAATTCCGAACAGGTTTCGCTCTGCCCTGTTTGCAGTCAACAGTTCTCATCATCTGTTATCATTTTTATCACGTATAGTTCCAAGTCCCGATTGGTGTACAGGTTTATCAAGAGTTGATATATGTCTACAAAATTGTTCATGGCCCTTAAGAATGCAATTTCGTTTAGAACCATGGGATGCTGGCGTTATGACTGGGAATACATATATTCCCATTGAAAATTCTGAAAGATTAAGAGAACCAAAACCAATGTGTCCAATAACACCTGATCTACGACCAAATACACCATTTACTGTTTTAACTGATTACGTATCTCTACCGAATTCGGATTCATTCAGTTTAACTAATCTACATACGAGTGGTTCAAATACATTTAGAAATCCTAATTTAGGTTTACCAATGTCAGATCAAATGAATCTATTAAATATTCCATCGACCAGTGGACGTATGCGCAGACAATTTGCACGACTTGGTACTGTTGAACTGGAGTTATTACGCATAAATGAGGTAACAGCTATTACTGGTAATAAATACTATTTAATACTATTCAACTGACTCATGATTTCAATCTGTGAAAATTTCTAAAAATCTCCACAAACCCCTTCTGATAAAAAATAGTTAACTTGTATTTGGAACGTAATTTTTCCATCTGAATAAATAAAAGACAAATTTCTAAGTAAATGAATTCAGCTTCTGTATTGAAAGTGACTATATCTAAAATGTGTTGCAAGATGTTAATAATAATGCCATTTATATATTGAGACAATCAACCGGAAGGTAATTTATCAAATGTTATTTTATTAAACAAACTGTATATAAAATCTAATAAACAATGAGCTGTAACAATTATAAAAGAGACTAACTAAACGAGTTATATTGATTAATGATAGAAATGAATTTTAATTAAGTTGGAATATTATCAGTTGATCAACATATCAGATTTATTCAGTGATTAGTAAAGTATTTATGAAGAACTAACGTCTTCTTATTTTATATATTATGTGTCAAAACAATAAAATGTAATCAGAAGTTACATCATATATGAAACTAACAATAAACAAAAATGGATGGATCACTGACAAATTAGTTAGTTCAAAATTTAGACAGAAACCTTGATTTCCGAAAAAAATACCATTGCTTTAGGACACTTAACATTAGTTACTATTGGAAAGTCAGTCTTTTATATTCTAGTTTCGTTAATAAAAATGAATGTGAACATAGATGAATAACTTGTGACAGCAAGATATTTAGAAAAATCTCAATACAACTGAATATTCCAAAATAACAGTTAAAGTATAATTTATACGAATATTCGTCAAGATTATAACGAATAGTTTGACAGAAATTGGGCGCCGAGTATAGAGAAGTCATTATATGTGAAAATTATATTTGAAATAATTTCAACGTTTCGTTCAGCAAACTTATTTGAACTTCTTCAGGGTAAATAGTTTATGTATGTGTAGTTTTGTATTAGATGGGGAATAATTTTGTATCCGAAAATCTTATCAATTAAAAGTTCCTTATCGATTTCCCATGCAGCTTATCAAGTCGATTATTTCAATGTTTTAAGTTAACATAACCAAAGCAATACTACAAGGAAGAGTTCGTCATACCAAAACATTGAATTTTGAAAACTTGACATTTTTCTTACTACAGTTTCTTTCGAAACATCTCATTAAATGCTCTGTTCAATAGATGATTATACAATAGAGAGATTATTTCAAGTATTTGAAAACTTCAGATTAAATTGTTTATCCTCTTTTTTTTAAAAGAAAAACTTAGAAAAATCCTGAGATTTAGAATAAATGTCATTCAACCACAAATTTATTTCAGAAATAATCATCTCAACAACAAAAAGATTTTCTCAGTTTAAACAAAAATAACTGAGTTTGGCGTTTGATAAAATTAAAATTGATCATAATAAACATTTTCAATAAGATTTAGTTACTATATTTATTAACTCTAAAGTGGTTGAAACAACCAACTAGAGTAATCAATGAAATGATGAAAATATAATTGTGAGAAATTCAGGTTGATTAACTCTTTAACTGTAACCTACGTTAATAAACGTGCACAAATTCTAAATTCACTTGGTGTTATTTTACTTGTATATTCCCATTGTTATTTAGGATTGCGAATTGATCGGCCTCTTGTTGGCATATGTGCATACTGTGCGGATTGCCTCAATATAGCATTAAGTCACAAGCATTTTAAGCAAAGATGGATGGTGGCTAGCAGTGGAATCCAGGACGTGTGTTTCATCTTATTTGGGACTCGTCATGAGATTGATCAATTGCAGTCCTAAATAACAATATGAAGATACAAGTAAAAAACACCAAGTGAATTTAAACTTCACACCATTTCACAAGCACGTGGCTATCAGGACTCAGTAGATAAGTGGATAATGCGATGGCGTTTGAAGTGAACGATACTGGATTCGAATAATGGAGTGAACATCAAATCTGGGATGCAGGTACATCCAGTTGACTAGTCCCAAATAGAATGAAACGCGTGTCCTGAATTCCACTGTTATCCTCTATCCATCTTTGCTTGAAAATGCGCAAATTCCATTACTGAATAAATTTGAAAAATTATAAAACATTTGATTAGGCAGCGAATCATCTTAATAATTAAATCCATTCAATCATTATCATCAATTCAACATACTCAAAATGATAGAATGTTTGTAAGTACTATTGTATCAGTTAGAATTGACTGCTTAACAAGAATTATTATTCTGGACCAAATCAATTTTTATCTAGAGTGTTTAAATAGGGTTTATTACAAATGAAATAACTTAAAGTAAAAAGAACGGAATAATAAAAAATGATCTGGAAACTATCGGCAAACATGTATACTTTTATGGTGAGTTCGAGTAATTGGTATTATTTAGAATGTTTGCTTAGGATTGTAAAGAAACTAAAATGTTGTTTAGTGTATGAGAAATTCGTTTAATAAATACATGAATGAATATACTTTCTTAAAATATTAGCAACATAATTCTCATTGGTTGTTTGAATCTTCCTATTGATGTTTAGGATTGAATATTAACTCTAGGATGCAGGTACATTCAACTAACTAGCTCCAAATAGGATGAAACGCACGTCCTAGATTCCACTGCTAGCCAACATCATTTTTGCTTATTAACAACATAGTTGTATTAGTGTTGGGATACTATAAAAAACTATTTTCCTCAAGTTTATTTCCCTTAGATATTCATTTTATGACATATTTTCAGCATGAATCTTGTGCTACCGAAGTTCTTCAAGAAGATCAAGCTATGTCAAAAGCATCAAGTTTTCCCCGTCGTGATTCTTATGGAGGGTCTTTTGATACAAGAAGTGGTACAACAGAAAGTGATACGAAAAGAACATCAACTGACTTACTGGGGGCTCGATGTCATTTAAGTGAATGGTCACCATGGAGTCCATGCACTCAAGTCGATTTAGATACTTGTTCCACTAATGAGGCTAAATCATTCTGGACCAATACACCACCTCGTATGTGGCGAACGAGACATAGTATAACCCAATCGAATAATGAAGACTGTTTAGCTGCTAAATTAAAGGTAAATATTCGTGAAATAGGTCATGTGTGACATTCTACTTAAATCTTGATGATATATTCGCATTATCTAAATCAGGAATTAATGTTGACGTTTTTCTGAATCTTTTATTTATTAACGGGAAAAGAATGACTAAATTAGAGTATTACTTGATTGGGTCATTTCAGTCCATGAATGATGAGTTTGGAAATCTATGAAAACAGATAAAATTTGTCCTGTTGTTTTCGTGATATATTTATCTACTATGTTGTAAACAGAATATATATTTGTACATGTGTATTACAAATGTGTATAATATATTATCCTCCTACAATAATTGTTCAGAAAAACTCCAAAATTTTACGTTACAAATAAAGCTTTTTGATTAATGACCTCATAAATTTCTATGGACAATCTAATTAAACATCGCATACATTTTTGATTCATAGATCAATTTTACTGATAAGGTCATACACATTTGTTAAAGTATTCATAGGAGATCTTTTGGTCCATAGTGGCATCTGTAAAACATAACCCTTACAAGCAACGAAAATAACAAATGAATAGTAGATGATTATTTGACACAATTAACCTACTTACCCTTGATTGTGCCATTGCATTAGATCCATGTTCACGTAACTGCGACTTTTTTTAACCTATGATATTATAAAACAGGAAACATGACAGAAAATGGAACTGCACCAAAATGAAATAACTTGTTGACTACTTTTGTATTTCTAAGGTAAATTAAGTGAAGAAATGTTGTGACATTTTCGAAGCCATGTCAAACCATCTTCTAAAATTAATTTCATTATATACTAATTATGATAATTGGCTTTTAATCGAAGTCCATTACAATTTCCTAAGTAACAACAATATCACAACGCTTTGCCCTTCTTTAAAACAGTCTGATCTTGAGAGTTTTGTGTCAGTATATTTCAGTAGAATATCTATGGTGATGGATTAATCAGTAACGTCAGTAGCTATCCATTTTCAAGTTATCTTTTTATTCAGTAGCAAAAGTTACATCATATTTTAGTCCCAACTTTAATATCTACTTAAAAAAAATAAATCTCAACGCATAAACAATAATCTTCACTCTTTACATATAAAAGCGGTTGAGAAGAATTTGACTGTGTCTTAGAATATGAAATAAACTTTAACTTCTCAACAAATAAATGTAAAACTGAATTGGGCAACAATCTGTTATGTTCTCATTTTATGAATAGATTTATTGCATACATTTATTTTATGACTGTTTTTACAAAGACTCAAGATAGTTCCACTTGTTAAGCTGTGTATAAATATACTCAGCAAGATTTATGACATAATTATTTAGTTTACTACTTTGTCAAAAAATCGCATAAACCTGTGAAAATGACTTTTTGTTTTTATGAATTTACAATGAAACGACACTTCAGTGATTTTTTTTCAATGTCGAAAAGTCAACTTTTTCCTGACTTCTCACATAAGTGACTATTTCCTAAAAAAACCCGTTTTTTATATGATTTCCAGGAAGAAAAAGCTTGTGAAACGCCTACAGCTAAACAAACCTGTGGACCAATTCCAATTAGTACACCTCATACAAGAATGCATTTTATGGATACCTGTAACAAATTACCTTGGGGTCCATGGTCTACATGTATTAACGCAACATGTACGCGTCCAGGAATGATTTATCGTTGGAGGCGGTTTCCTGATGAAGCATCTAAAGTAACATGTGAAAGGCATCCACTAGCAAGCCAAGTTGATACTTGTTGGCCACCATCTAATTTCCAATGTTCTTTGACGGAATTACAAACAGCATGTCTTGAAGAACCACCTACTCCACAAAGATTATGTGTTAGACCATTGAACACGACTAAACGGTTGGTTTGCTATAATACTCAATATTTTTACATTTTTCCTTTCACTCCTTCACAACTGAATTTAGTTTAATTCCATTTTTCTAACTAGGTAAAATATACAAACTATTCTTTTGAATATTGTTTTTTGTCAATTTGTCAATTCTTCAGAAATTCATGCTCAAAAACTATTCTTATTTTGACAGGAATATGATATTTGACATTCACATTTTCAAGGTTCAATATTACCATTCTCATCACGTTCACTATAACAAACAATCAGTTCGTAATCTGTTCACGTTGTTAACTTGTATTTTTTTTCAATTGTTTTATATAATGAAGTACATCATAGGTTGGTTGACATTAAACATAACGTTTTTTTGGGACGTCATATCTTACCTTAGATAATAGTTTGCTGTATTAATACAAACAAACTTTAAATAATAATGACCATGGACAATTCAAATTTAAAAAGTATGTTTCCTCAAAATCAATTTGGTTTATTCTATTTATTAGTTATATAAACAGAGTAGATTCATTTTCATAGTATAAACAAACAATTTAGTTACAAAGCTAAAAAATAGACAGGAAAATAGAAGAAATGAAATAAAACAAAAGTCATAGTTGGCATTATTTTAATCTACGTTAGCGATACTACCCCTAACTCAGGGTCTGAAAAGTCGGAAAAATGAAAATTTCGCGAATGCGATAAAAATGATCTTGGTGGTCTAGTTATAGTATTCCGACACCAGAAAATGGGTTTTAAGCTTTATTTAAGTTCTAACGCTTCATACTGGGCTACATAAGTGTTGTATGCAGTCTAAGTTATATGGCTATGTAGAGCTGAAGGTCTCATATGAGGCTGGAGGTTCGCCATTGGTATTGTGGATGGTACGGCATTGCTTTGGCAAGTTTAACTGACTGTTCATGCCCAAAATTGATTTGCTGGTTAGCCGATTTCATTCATATTGGTGGTTGCTTTTCAGTGTTCCCGAGGGCCATTGTCATTGTAACATTGTAAGGCATGTCGCCATTGCTAACATGGATGAATTTGACTGTCATGTAAGCGGAATTGGTCAGCTTTGACCTGTTCGTGCTGTGCACAATTGATTCACGCGATCATTGATCGGAATAACTATACATGTGACGTGAATGTGTATATGATTGGTGCGAATGGTCCACTAGGGTACTTGGTATCTGTGTGGTTGCGCCACAAGATTGGGCTGTACTATTGAGATTGTAGCGTTAAAGCCTATACGGTGTCTGCTTCTCCTGTGAATCGGGATTGAGCTATACTGCTCGGGTTATAAAATTTAATCCTGGACGGCGTCTGGCTGTCCTGTTAAACGGGATCCAGTTGTACTGTTTGGGTTGTCACGTGAAAGTCTGAATGATGTCTGGTTCTCCTGAAGACCAATGTAAAACTACCCTGGACCACAAGGGTGTATTATATAACTATGATATTTGATCAATTAAATAAACAAAATTTAAGTATACACACTTTCAAATAGTTTGCCTCATTGATTCTGACATGATAAAACTCAAATCTAATCATGATTGGTTTTAATTACAATTTTGAAAGTTTTCTAGCAATCCAAATAGACAAAAAATTGAGATTTAAAATGTAGCTGTCAAAAGTGACTAATCTATTGGAAATGATTGCAAAATATAAATGACAAAATTAATGTTTTTTTCTATTTTATTAAATTGTAAATTTTTATAATTATAAACCATAAAACCCTAATGCTTAACTTAACAATGCATAGTACTTTTATAATGTATGTACTACATTTTGATCATTTAATAAATATCTACTATTTTCCATAATACTGAATGTTTATGAACTATAAGCAGTTTACAGAAATAAATAAATACATTTGTGGTGTATACTACTTATGCTGACAGAAATGAGTAGTATGTAGCCACAATCGGAAATAGAATACTTTACAGCAGAAGACTGGAATAAAAAGAAAATAAAGTAAATCATGTAGTAATTAAGATAACAATAAAATTAGAGGAATAATAGAGTATGTAAAAGATAACTCAAAAAAGATGTGCAAATGATATATTTAATGTATTTTACAAAATCACTGTGTAATTTTGATTTTCCACTCTAAATTTCATTTATTATATATTCACTTTCTGCTTACATCAGTTGAAATAATAAGGAAAAGATGTAATGGCTTTTAATTAAAAGAACTTTCATCTTTGTTTGTGTTCTTCACATTTCTTTTCTGACAATGGTAGTTAGTATTTATTACTTTTTCGTCATCTAAGTAAAATAATGACAAGTGTATAATTCCTTCCAAAATTCTCACACAATATTCAGCCAAAAACACTGAGAATTCCGTTTCTTTAAATATATGGATTTTGTCTTGACTTAAGACAACTTTAAAGTGTATATCATTGAGATCTCTATAGATCAAAACTAATAAAACGTAAAACTAGTCAGGTATACGATACTTTCAAGTCGGTAGATCATATTGTATCGACTGATATTTTGTAAGCCATCATCAAGCTACAATATGAAACAACTTTTGATAAATATTCCCGAATTGAAATCTCTCACCATTCTGAAGTTTATTAATCTTTCACCTCATGGTTTTCTCATAGCGATATATAATGATGAGTCAACTATTATTAAAAATTTTACCAACTTCTCAGTAAATCATATTGAACTAACAATGAAGTATGAATAACACTGTAAGAGTACATTAGTCCCCTCGATTATATGTTGAATGAATGGGAAGTTAAATTGTTCGAAATTAGAAATAAACAGCTGTTTGTTGTGTTGAATTTTTTTCAAGTAAAATTAGCATACAATGTAAATAATTTTCTTTAGAACGTTTAGTAACATTAAAGCGTATATATATAAACCCAAAAGATGGACTGTAAGTCCGAAATACATGCCAAAAACACCGTGATGGTAAATTCAAGTTTATCCGTTTATTTCTCGGAAATGCCACTACACAACAATAGGATTTCGTGTGTGAAATAATATGAAATATCGATTGATAATAAATCCGAATTTCTCCCTACTGCTGGTTACATGATCTCATAATTTATGGAATTTTCGAAGATGCATTATGATTATAAGTGAAAGATAGCAAAAAAAAAGATATTTGGGAAAAACACGATAATCGTCTTAACAAAGCCTTAATATCATTGTGGTGGGGTAGCTTAGAATTTACTAATAGTTAACTACTCTTATCTAAATGTCAATTGGTTAATCAATTCGCAGTAGCACGAAAACTCAATTTTCAAGGACAATAACGAACAAAAATATCATGATATTTAGTACATATTTACAAATATTGATAATTATCAATAAGATCCACTTACGATAAGTTTATTTGAAACTTAAAATAGAGCTATTACGATATTTAACATCGTAACTTCTGATTCATAATAATTATGAGAGTCATTTAACCTTTTAACTCTATGGTTAGGATGAATATAATCTGGCTATTTTTTAGGGACATTTATGTACCGGATGTGATATGAATAAATAATATAATCAGTACTATGGTGATTGTTGCTGAAATTTCTAGTAACCGAATTATTTTGCAATCTTGTTATACATATTTCTTACTAATAAACTTTCCATTTTAATAAATATAATAGAGTATATCCTTGATGATACAACAACCTGAATACGGAAGTGAGGTTGGATACTGATTCAAAAATGGGCTTTACTCAACCGAAGATCAGCATAAATTTAACAAATAACCTCAGTTTCATAGTAAATACGCAGTTTTCATTCTGCTTTCTAATCGATGAATTATGAAAGCTGATAACTTGTTTTTAGGAGCTTTTGCCCCCATTCAAATACTATTGAAAATAGATAGATGCATTCGTCAAGCTTTTCTAAATTTTATAGTCATTAATTCTCAAGATAATTGTGTGCAGAAAATGGAAGCTTCGGGTAATAACTCAGCTAGTAGTACACTTGTCTTGTTCAATAAATCAAACTTCCTCTTCGGAGGATAACTTTTATCGCTCGTCTAGAATCAAGTTTTTAAAAAAAAACGAATAAACATTTGTCAGTATAAATGCTCACTGAATATTTATTTGAATATTTTATTACTGAGATTCTAAATCATTCTTACATTCAATTACTCTAGATACTACTATTCTTCAGCGACGAAGCAATGCAAAGAATTTGAATATGTTCCTGAATGTCATCTTCGTGCACTTGTTGCAAATCATCCAATTAGTTTAACCAGAAATGTATTTAAAGATCGAAACACTTGTGAACAACTGTGTACAAATAAACAAATTCAAGCTGATGCTGTTTGGAATCCGATTGTTAAAAGAGAAACAGAGAAATTACAGCACAAATGTGAACAGTCATTAATGAAAGGATCATTGTGTCAGTCGAATAAAATATCTTATAGCTGGTATTATGATAAACAATTTAATAGATGTATATCTTTTGAATATCTCGGTTGCTATGGGAATGAGAACAATTTTAGAACAGAAAAGGAATGTATAACGTAAGTAAATTGCAATTATACTTGTAGAATCATCATTATTCAAAATGAGTTTAAAAAAATAAAAAAGGTGAATTAAAATCGACTGAAAGATTTCAAGCATTTCAATTTCTAAAATCTTATCTCAATTATGTTATCGTATAAAGAGAAAACAATTGATTAAATCACAAAAAATAGGGAGATTATTTTGATTTTTAATTGAATGATAATGCCGGCGTTTCATTTTTAACCACCTCAAACCAATTAGACAATGTATATTATGTTCAATTCCAAAAACCGTTAACAAATTCAGAGGTACTAGAATATACTTTGAAAAATTCAAGCGTACCACCTTACAAAGCGGACATCAATTATCACTGCATAAACAACTTTTAATGTCCGTGATTCTATTAATAATCAGATTGAAATGATCGAAAATTGGTTTTACAAGAATTTTAGTGAACAAGAACACCAGTGGGAACAATCGAATATATTTGACACAAAATTACACGACCTGTTAATAAAATCTAACAATCATAAATTAAATGCTTGATTTGCGAAATGTCCACCAATTGTCTCAAAATGACTCAGACTTCATTGTCCTTGCATTTTCATACAAATTGCATCCTGTTTCCATTCTTTACTGTTCGATCCTCTTGTCTCTCTGCTGCCAGACATTCTGTTTCTGACTAACATCATATACTACTTATGTCAATATAAGTAGCACACACCACAGAATCACTTATGACTTGACAATTTCATATATGTTTTACTATTCAAAATTGTATCCATTTAATGAAGTTTAATTATTCGATTGGTAAAACTAAAATAAACTGATGAATTAGAGTGGACAGTTCAGCTTAAACATACTCTAAACGCTAAATTGCAACCTTAACAATCCTAAACCTAGCGTTACTCAGTAAAATATTACAAATAAACTATTGTCATCATTATGATTGACTTTTTAAAGGAACTAAAATAAAATAATCTTTTTAGTCGTTCCTTTTATTTCATTCTCATTCCCTTACTTTACTCATAATTCTCTGTTCAACGTATTCATATTTCAAATCTTTGTAAACATTATCAATTTAGAATGAAACATAATGGAATTCATAAAAGAATTAAGTGGAATGAATAAAATGTTTATTTTTTGAAAATTATTTCCTCTACCTAAAAGATTACTCGTATTGATTTTATTGAATGTATAGCCCTCAGTTAAGCGACAAGCATTGTCTTATATATATATATATATATGCTATTTAATGAATATCACTTAATTCCTTCAAGGATTTACTTGAATAAAACATCTGAAATAATCAACCAGAATGCCCTTATTTGTTCCATTAAAAGGACATAATTTCTATGATGATATTCATTTCAATACAAAAGTAAAATTGTAAATCAATCAAATACATAATAAGAAATAACAAAGAAAATTAGAAAGAAGGATAACACAAAACAAATATGAAAAACATCAAATAATATAAATGAATTACTTGAATTGATTTCTATCTTATAATAAGTAAATTTTCAGTAATTATCATTTGGTTAATTCATGAAGGTAATAAAGGTAAAATTCACTAATTCACTTAGACAACAAATATGTTGATAAGCATTAACTCTTAATATAAACAAAAAATATTTAGTTTTTGAACAAAAAGTCTAATGATAAAAGAGAATGAATCAACTGTTCCTAGTCTAGAATAAACAAGGTATAATAATAAACAACCATTTATGTTTTATTGTATGGGATTCAATAATATTAAATCAGAAGGGGTTTCGTGGAAATTGTAGTAATTTCATTAGTTGAGATCATAAGTCAATTGAAGCTAGACCACCATGGAAAACCTCGGAACACAATAAGACGAAACGGCCGTCCACTGCTTTCAGGTTTTTCATGGTGGTCTAGCTTCAATTGACTTATGATCTAAACTAATGAAATTACTACAATTTCCACAAAACCCCTTCTGATACTAATCAACATATGCTCAGTAGTGACTGGCTTCAAGATGTGTACCCTAAAGTTCTAGTGAGAAACAATGACCAGTTAAGTTCAACCAAGTCAGTTGTAAGGTAGTAACTCACTGATGACAATGGTGGATGTGTCGCTCAATCTCATGGATTAGTTGAAGTTAGACATTAACACCGTGGGATGCCGGCTCAGTGGTCTAGTGGTTAAGCGCTCGAGCGTGAGACTGATAGACCCTGCGTTTGGATCTCGCGAGGTGTGGTCATGGATGCGTGCTGCTGAGGAGTCCCACAAAAGTACAGAACGGCTGTCCAGTGTTTCCAGGCTTTCCATGGTGGTTTAGCTTCAGTTGAATCCTGGTCTTAACTAATGAAATATTAAATTAATTTACTTTAAATACAAAGTATGTCAATTAACCAGAACAATAACTCTAGTATATACAAGCCATATGGTATAATGATAATTTTATTAATAGTATCGAATGTTATTCGCGTATTTTTGAAGTAGTAACCAAAATGGTACAGATTTTGTTGTAGCATTTAAATATATATATATATTTAATTACAGAAAAGTGTAGCAGTTTTTTGGCATGTTTAGATTGATACAAGGAAACAAAATATGTACACATGAGCTGAAATGACGTTATTCATACACTGTTGCCATAGTATATAGTCATAAAGATTTTATCAACATAAAATAGCTGTCGAACACCAGTAAATTTTAGATAGGAAGACTGAGACGCCATGTTTAAGGATGAATAATGTAGTGAAGGATGATTTCAACATCGTTACAGGGTACTTATAAACATTTACAATTAATGAAAACAAAATAAATACAGAGTTCACGGAATAACAACAAGAATTACTGGGACAAGTTTGTTGTCATTAATGAACAGACCGACGAAAATTCAAGTACTTAACTTCTGATAAATAAAACTCTGGGCAACTTATTATAAACTGAAATACAGAACTCATATAACCTGGTATCAACAGTCCTTTTGACTACCTTCAACCACCTTCTTTTCTCAACATAACGCACGCAATGTCATGTCAACTAGAATAGTAGCCACATTGCAACTTGTTCGATAGGATTCGATGTGCACTAAGGAGAACCTAACACACCTGGAAATGATCACCACCCAGTGATCAATCAATTGTCAACAATATGATCATTTTATTATGAGACTGACGATTGTTTTTTTCGTCGTCAACTAGGCTTATTAAATGATATGATTAGACTTGATAAAGCATGCTTTCATAGTGGTGAACATGATAACAAATAATTATCTAACCTGATAATTATTTCAGGCTGATAATCACTACTGTTTGAAAGATTTACTAATATAAATTCACGTAAGGAAATTGTATACTTCTAAATTTGATTTCAGATATCATTATGGATCACTAATACTTTTCAAACTTATTTTTTATGCATTTTCAGTCAATGTGTCTACCGCGATAACACTACAAATGATTTAAATCAATTAAATTTGACAAACAATATTAATAAAACAGCACTTTTAAATAATACTTATGATAAGTGGATTCAAATGCCTCAAGAATGTCGGTATACGCAATGGACAGATTGGTCGAGTTGCAGTACTACCTGTGGACAAGGAATTCAGACCCGTGTACGTGAACGAATTTCATCAAAATCAGACAACTGTCAGAAAATTTTACCGGAACTTAAACAACAAATGAATTGCTTACTTAAGGCTTGTTAACTAATAGTCACAAACTAGTCATTTCTAAGTTTTTCCATTTTCCTTATACATATGTTAAAATACATTTCAGTTATTCATTACTACTGATCGAGATATACTACTCAAGTAAAAACAAATTATAAATGAATGCTTTTCAATGATGATATTTACATCGAGGTAATAGTTTCGTTTTAGCACATCTACTTTGTTTATTCTTTTTCTTTTCCAAATAACCTGTCACTTGTTAACGGTTTTTTGCTATTTTAAAGTATAGAAGATTATCGATGTTAAATGTTTGCATTCCGTTGTTAATTATCTAGCATTTTACTCCAAATTTTTCTTTTTTCTCATCATTAAACTATTCGTTTTGTTCTTGTTATTATTGCTTGTACGGCTGCAATAATTAGTATTGTTATCATTGTAAACTATGAAGTGAATGAATCTTTTAAGAAAGAAATGCAACTTCCAACGAATGTTTAATAAATATTTTTCTTGTATGATCCAGTTATTGCATTACACAGACTGAAGGCTTTATTATGTCCAGTATTTTATGAAAATTATTAATTGACTTCTCAAACAAAGTTAGATGCTGAGTTGAGATATGTGTACATCAGGTTGATGAATCCCAAGTAGGATGAAATGAGTTTATCTCATTACAATGACATCAACCATCCAACCTTGATTGTGATGTTAATGACTTAACGGCAATAACGAGACAATCCATACACAGCATTCGAATGGACCAAAAGATACTGATCAATTGTGGTCCTAAGCATCAATGAGAAGATTCAAATAATCAATGTTAAAACAGCCGAGTACAAAACAAGTTAATATTTGCAAACTTAAGCCATAAGAAAAATTTGATCTACTTCTTGCATTCAACAAAAAATGTGTTTCTCACCTTAAACCATATGTCATTAAAATTATCTCATATGAATGTTGCAGACGGTAATTATGATTGCAATTTAGTAAACGTTAATCATTGTGTGTTCGCTCCACAAGTATCCCATAAAGAAACCTTATTATTATTATTATTATTATTATTATTATTATTATTATTATTATTATTACTATAGTGAGAAGCCGTTACCAGTGGAGTCCAACCAGGTCTGTTGCGAGCCATCAGCTCACTGAAGACAATGGTGTACGATGACGCAAGTTCGTGGATTAGTGGTTAAGCACTCGCCGGCAAGACTGATATACCCTGAGTTCGAATCTCGCGAGGCGGGATCGTGGATACGCACTGCTGAGGAGTCCCATACCAGGACGAAATGGCCGTCCAGTGCTTCTAGATTTTCCATCGTGGTCTAGCTTCAATTTACTCATTATTTCAGCTATTGAACTTTCTAAAATCTCCACAAAACCCCTTCTCATATTATCATATTGTTTTAATTGTAATATACGATTATTTGACTATAAATGCGCCAAAGTTATCTTACGGTAAATACAACTGAGTACGACATTTCACAATTTCATCTAAATTATCTACCGTTATTTTTCATTAGTATACTAACTAACAAAAATGAAAATAATCTAAGATGAATTTCTCATATGTGATACTTTATTCATTACCACTTGTTAATGACTTACATTTTGATTTCAAAATGAACAATGCTTGAAGTATTTATCTTTTGAAATTCTTAAAAATTCAACAAACAGTAAGCTTAAATATAATCGTTGACTGAATAAATTCATCTCGGTTTTTAGATAGTGCGTTATTTAGCATGTCTATGTTAATTAAAAAAACTCAATATTACCTAGATACAAGTTCCAAGTATTATTCATCATTTACAAACTGATTATTTTCATGAACCAGTTTAAAAAAATATTCTAGTGGTTTATAATAGGTTTGAAATCATGTTATGTTTCTGAATTTATAAGAAAACAGTTCAGTTAAGAATAAGAACCGTAAAATCAGATGATGACTGAAACATATCTACGAGGGTTTTATGGAGATTATGATAATTTAGTAGTTGAATTCATGAGTCGATTGAAGCTAGACCATCATGTAAAAGCAATAGACGGCCGTTTCGTACTTACATGGGACTCCTCAGCAGCGTAAATCCACTATAGGTCCTGGGTTCAAATCCTGTGGGGTGCGGGATCGTGGATTCGCACTACTGAGGAGTCTCATACTAGGACGAAATGGGCGTCCAATGCTTCCAGGTTTTCCATGATAGTCTAACTTCAATTGATTCATGAATTCAACTATGAAAGATATCCGTTTGCTTAAATGAAAAGAAATTTACAAATGGGTGATTACTCATGCTTCTCGATTATCAAAAATTCTTTAATCCATGTCAATTTATAAAGAAACTTAATGATTAGTTACCCATTTATCAATGAACTATTTTTTTTCATAAAATGATATTACACTTGTCAGTCGTATAATGTAATAAGCACGAAATCTCATAAGAAAAGAAAATACAACTGGATTTTTGTAAACAAAATGAATGACAAAAAGTATTCAACAGGAAACTAATTAATTTCATGTTTATTAATTATTGCATAACAGTAAAATGACATTCATACTACACACTCCATTACTACCGTTCATACAAATATAGCTCACATTTAGTCGTTGATAACCAAAAAATCCAGTAAAGTGGTAACAGATTGACAAAACAACTTGAGAAAACATTTTATGAATATGACGTAAGATATCATAAAGAAAAATAAACATTTTTAGCAAATAAGAAATCGATAAATGAATGATCCCTTGATAAATATTGATTTTAAAACATTAAATTGGCAAACGATTTAAGATATTATCAAAAATTACATTTATCTGTATTACTCATCATTATTTAACTGAATGTTTACATGGATTTGATTAATACATATACTTTTTTCACCATAATAATAGTTATTTACTGCGTACCATAAACTGGATACACCATTGAACTTTGCTTCAATATCAGAATGACATCATGGTTACTACAGGGCCTGAAGGTTATGTCCATGATTTCGAAAGCGATACATTTTCAAACCTATGGATTCCAATCCGTAGGACGTTTTTATTGCTCCTTTACTTTGATAAGGATACCTATCCTTAAACAAACTTTTCTGATGGTACACTTAACTAATTTATTCATATTTTCCTTACAAAAATATTTGGATATCACTTGTTTACTGAGAGAATGCTAAGGTAGTTTTCACAGTTGAGTCTTATATCGCATGTAAAAATTCCAAGCAGGATTATGACTTTTTACATCTATTCAATGTCTCAGTATACTAGTGTACCGATTGAAATTCCTCGTAATACAAACCGTTCTGTAACCTGGTAATATTTAAATCGACAGCAATTTTAAAGTTTTGGTATAAGGTTGTGGAGATTGTTGACTTTTAATTTCGGTCATGAATCGAACTTGGAACATTCGGTCTTGCGCAAGAAATGAAATTCAGAATCTCCGCAACCATATTATAGAAAGTAATATATGCTCAATATTGAATATCTTCGAGAAGAAATTTCTGAAGTTTTAGTTTGAAGCCATGACCAGTGAAGTTCAGCCGTTCAAGTGTGAAGAAGTTACCCACCGATGACCATTAAAGTTGATCACTCAATCTCGTGGATTGGTTTAAATTAGACATCAATACCGTTGAATGCCGGCTCAGTGGTTTAGAGAATAAGCATTCGTGCACGAAACCGAATGACCTGTATGTCGAGTCCTGTGTGCAAGATCGTGTGTGTACATTGTTGAGGGGTTCCATACTAGAACGAAACGACCGTCCAGTGCTTCCGGGCACCCAATGATGATCTAACATTGATCGATTCATGATCTCAAAGTTTTAAATTTATAAAAATCAACCTTGAACTTTTTATCACAACAAATACTACTCATTTTGAAATAATTGCTTGATTTCAGTAGTATAATCACCTCTCTTAACTTTTAGTTACTTATTCTGTAAAGATTCAATGAATTAACTAAATCCCTTACTGCTAAATCAAAAAAACAAATTTTAAAAGATTAAATATTTTTTCTCAAAGTATATTATACGAACCATTGATTTGGTCAAAACAAAATATAAACACATTCATAGCCATAATTAATAATCAAGCAAAGTAAACAATGAAGTGAAAATAAATGTTTAAGGAAAAGTGAAAAATATCAGAAAAAGAAAATGTTTCTCATATTTTTTTCAAGCTAATTTAATCATGGAAACAATCATTTCCTCCTGTAGTATTGATTATATTATTTAGGATGTTTTGATGAAATACAACTAAAATGTTGATATTTGTTTATGAAGAAAACATTACTTCATTTATCATGTGATGTGTAATTGGATAAATACCTTGGTACTTAATAGAATAACAAAAACTAAATGTATATTGATTTATAAATTCAATTGGGGAAAAGAAAAAACTTAATTTTAGTAGGATTAAAATTTTCAAACTTTAAGTTGTAAATCAAGTTCATATATTAATCATAATCTTCATTATTCAATTGTTCTCATTTCAGTTCAACCAAGTTCATAATCATAGTCTAAAAAGAACGTTATGGTTGTCGAAAGGGCTCTCCACTTTAGTGGCTCATTGATCTGACTCCTATTGGATTGTATGAACGTTTGTTAACACCTATCCTCGTATATAATCATCGACGTAAATCGCGTTAGTCAATCACAGAATTAAATAAGTCAAATAACGAGAATGGAATTGTGAATACATATATTTTGTATATCAAGCGAATGGAATAGAGAGAAGAGAAACGACGCAGAGTGGAGATGGCTGGTAAGCCAACACCCCTTTAACCAAGCGTTAATCAATAGTTATAGTTACACAAAAGTAAGTTACAGACACGTGATGAGTAATGGGATCAGAAATGTACACACCTACGCGCTCATATAAAGACAATCAAGGTCAGAATGTGACTCAAGTAGAATGAATAAAATGGGCTGTCCAAAAGCTAGAATAAAGTATATAGGCTTAACATACTGACACTACATTAAAATTATCATAATATTTACCATAGAAATGATGGTTATTTCTTAGTATTTAATTATAATTCCATCAGGTGTCGTCTCAGTAACAGTGTGACATACGTAACAATTAAATTTTTGCTATTTTTGACAATGAAATTAGTTCTAGTTTATAACTAATATGAAGAAAGTCTAATATTCAAATAATCTGATAATTACATCCGAACAAATGAAGTATTGGAGAAAGTATTTGATAAGTTTTCTAAATGAACGTCATATCTGATTTTCTACCCGTATCTAATATGCTCAGGCTTAATCTATATGGGAACTTGAACAAAATAAAAAAGGCGCGAAATGCTGGAAAACGCTTTACTCTAAGGTTTGTTTATGTACTGAAAAACGATGGTATCTAAAGGGTCACAAAAATCCTTGAGCTTCGAGGAGTTTCTGGAGCCAAATATATTAGCGGCAAGTGACTCTTCCCATTGTAGATGTTTCTGGGTAGCTTCTACCCAACTCTAACTAGATAAAGTGTTTCCTAGCGTTTTCTGGGCTTCTATGGACTATTCTAAAGAGAACTTTG